TCCAGGACTCCCTGTGTCCCGTGTCCTGGTGACTGGACCCCCTGCAGCCCGCCCTCCCCGCCTCCAGTGGGTGCAGGGCCGCGTGTTCTTCAGTCCCCTGCCCGTCCCCTGCACACCGAGCATCTTTCCTCGGGCACAGAACCCAGAACCGCCTCCCGCCTGAGCCCTTCCCTGGCGCAGGAGCCCTGTGGCCGCACGACGCGCTGTCTCTGCCCCTTCTCAGCCTCGCTCACCTTCTTTCCGACAAGCTGACGGACTGTCACGTCTCTCCCAGGCGCTGTGGGAGCTGGAGCTGGAGGGCGTCTTTTAAATGTGCAGAAATCGGGCTTGGGCCAGGAAGTTTAGATTGGGTGGAGTTGGTAAAGAAAGTGTTTGCTTTTAGGAGAGAGATATAATTTAATGGGGGTTTCGCTTTTGCTACCCAGAAACCTTCTCCGTGTTCCTGCCACGGCACCAAAATTTCCCAGGCCATCTTTGATCTCTTGGGTTTCGCGTGGACCCAAGAGGCCCGACGTGAGGACCCGGATCTCGCACACCAGCCAGGCTCGGTGTCTGACCATCTTTCCAGAGTGGGAGGGACATCGGGGACCTTCGGGGAAGAGGCCAGTTGGGCTCGGGACCACTTGAGAACTTGGGGTCCTCGTGACGGCAGGATGTGGATTTTTATTGTGGTCTTTCAGGAAGGACTCACGTTCCATCTTCCAAAGTGAGCGGCCTTGAGGCAAAGCCAAGGGCCGACAGCTCTGGAGGCCGGAGAGGATCCTCCGGGGGTGCACGACCCGAGTCTCCACAGGCGTTGCGAGCGGGGCTGTGGGCGAGCTGACGGACCCTAGCACAGGCTCCAGCCAACGTCCCCTCCGGGCCGTCGGCCCCGCTGCCCCGGCCTGGCAGGGATGGACTTCCCTAGACTTGCCCAGGGGTGGTTCCAGCCTGTTCTGGGAGTTCCTGGAGGAGACAGGCGGGTAGGCAGAGCGCTGGTGGTCGACCAGCTGTCTGTTGTGTATATCAATAAATACGGTTTGGATTCTAGATTTTGGTTCATCCACTGAGGAACTGGATTCGTCGGTGCTCGAGCTTGAGGGGCAGCACTGAGAGGACCCGGTGTGCCAGGAGGTGGTGGATGTGGGGGGCCCTGTGGGGAACAGCCAGAATCTGGGGGTGTGCTAGAGGCACACGCTGCCCCACTGCTGAGCTGAGTATGGCTGCTGAGACGTGGTCGTGGGAGGCCCAGGGGCAGTTTTCGGACTGATGCCACCAGGGACCCAGCGCAGAATTTCAGGCAGAAGCTGAAAAGGCCAGCGCCTTTGTCCAACAGGCGGTCAGTGTCCACGCGGGGTGGCGCTCAGCTGCCTCGTGGGCCACTTCCTAGCCTTTAAAGTGGAGCATTTGAGACTAAACGTGGTGGCGTCCGTGACACAGTGCGATTAGCGCTCAGATTATGGTCAGTGACCAGTGAGTGGCCTTGATAAGCCGGAGAGGACGTTCCGGGTCATTGATCACCCCCAGTGCATCGTCTGTGTGACTTATAGATGCGCAACCTGCCCGCGAGACTGTCATCGGAGAGCAGACCCGGGGACGCGGACTCCGGGCGCCCCGCCGCCGGCGGACCCCACGGGTAATCCCGTGAACGTAGACTCTGGGCTCCCCACCACAGGCAGACCCCACGGGTAACCCCGCGGACGCGGACTCCAGCTCCCCGCCGCGGGCGGACCCCGCATTACAGGAGCGTGTGTGAGCTCAGGAAGGAAAGGGCATCTGCTGTGTCACCCCCAATGGCCCACGTTCACAGGACGTGGGGGGACCCTATTTCTCTCTCCGCAGACGGTCCTGGATGCCACTCACTGGGCTGTTTGTGTACCGCGACTTAGTGGGACCGTCCCGCGAGGTGTCTGGATCCTTCCACAGGTCTCTGTGCTGTCCTGGGGGGTCTCGCGTGGTTGCTGGGCTGCCAGGCGGTCTGGGGACGGCACGCTGCCCCGCCCAGGCGGCAGCCCTCCCTGGTGGGCGATGGTTCCCCAGAAGGGTGTTTCCCTCCATGGCAGCAAAAGTCCATTTCTGAGGCGGCCTCAGGCCGCTCGGTCCACAAAGCCTCTTATCAGGGCGGCAGCACAAGGCCGGGGTGAATTGCAGGGAGGGAACATTTACTTACAGGGGAAGATACAATTCAGGCGAGTATTTAGACTCGGGGAGTTTGGGGCGCATGTGTAGAATATCTAGTCAGATATCCGAAAAAGCCGTCTCACTTGGAATCATTTCAGAATTCAAAACCAGAGCACTTCTGTTCCCTGTTTCCCATGACAGTGTTAGGGTTTCCTCAGGCGCATGAAAACACCGTGTAGCGGACACCCCAAGTGCAGCGGGCAGACCTCCTCCCGGGCGAGACCTCCTCTGGGGGTGCCCCAGCCTGCTGCGAGCAGGCTGTGTGGGCCTGGCTCCTCATCACTTTGCTTTTACCTTCTCACAGGAGCGCGACATTATCCACCATTTATGTAGCACACAGCTGCTCCTGTAGGCAGAGGCGGGGGGCCCAACCGGGCGGGCACCCACCTCCTGAGCTCTTGGGGGACCCCATTTCTGAGAGGGCTGGGATGTGGGTGAGGCCACCTCTGCCAGTCAGAACCCCTACTCTCCCCGGTAGGGCCAGGCTGGCCGCCACGCCCGCTCCGGGGTGACCTCTGGGCAGACGGAGGCCGGCTCAGAGCACAGAGCCTCAGAGGGGGGCCGTGGGGGCGGTCGGGGCTCACAGTCCCATGCTGGTGAGTCCCTGGGTCAGCTGAGGGCCGTGTCACTCGTGGCTTCATCCCGTGGGCACTGTGGCCAAGGAGCAGGACCCGGGACCAGGCCCTGCTCTCTCTGGTGTCCACACCTGGTCAGTGCACCCACTGTCCCCCTCCGTGTCTCCCTAGACTCCCCTCAAGCCCCAGCCCCTGCCTGCAGAGTGCTGGCTCTGAGCACCCACGTGCTGTGCGATTAGAGTCTGGCCGAGTTTCAGCGAGCCCCAGGACAGGGTGCTCGGGGGACATCCCAGTGACATGCTGTCAACTGAGGGCCCAGGCGTCTCAGACTTGGGGTGCAACTTGATAGTGGGCCTCTGTCTCCCAGGACTTGACAATCTCCCCAGCGGGCTGGGCAGGAGCTGGGTATGGGTGTGCTGTTAGGACCAAAGAGGGGGAGCCCTTCAGTCACCTTGGGGTGTCGGGAAACATCCTTAAAACATGAGGTTAAAGGTGAATCCTTCAACGATGAAGTGGGGGCGTCATCCCAGCCCATGGAGGGGGAGTGGCACTGTCGGGGTGCGGGCCCGGGGGGGGCAGCCTGCTGGCAGGAGGCAGGACCCTGGGGCGCGACTCAGCCGAGGGAGAAGAGTCGTGGGTACGGGGGTTCAGGGGAGGCCCCCACGTGAAGAGCTCGACTTAAACCACCAAGGACCCGGACCCACGGGGGCCGCTGAGGAGCAGAAACGCTGCCGCCATCGTGGTTGTTTCTTTTTGGGGTTGTTGGGGGGATGTCAGCGAGGGGCTCTGCAGAGTTTTCTGGACTCGGCCCCTACCGCATTCGGGACGTTGGGGGACACACTGGGGCCATTTTCTGCTGCGCTCTGCCCAGCGTGGCCGGTGCCCAGCCTGCAGCTGGGGTTCCAAGTCAGCGAGCCGGCAGCGTGCTAGTGACCTTGTACCTCTCCCTCCCTGGGTAGCTCCTGTCCCCTGCATAAATATGCCCATCTGACCCTTTTGTGTGTCTGCAGTACAACAGCGACAGTCAGGCGGCCCAGTCACACTGGGGTGCCCTGTAACAGGCTCTCCAGGGTTTTTATCCTAAATGGGGGATGTGCCA